TGTGCGTCGCTTCTGTCGATTAAGGGTAGGCAACGCATCAGTAATTGCGGATGTCTATGGCCAGCGGTTGCTTTACTATTTCGGGGTTTTCAGGTGGCCGCTTGTTAATTTGCCACTTTATATTAATAAAAAAAAATCAGCTTGAATGCAGATAGTGATGGTGCCTATGATTTTTCTGACATTCTTGCAGAATTTGTTTAATAAAATAGTTCTTATACAGCTTTATTAAACTTTCGTTATTACAAAGCTATCACATAACAACTAATGTAAGGTTCCCAGCCAATCAAATTAATTACTAGTTTAGTTTTCAGTCCATCAATGTTTCTATTTATTTTTTTCCTAAACCCCGTCCGCTGGGATACAAGCTGCCATGTTCAGAAGGCATTCAAAGAAAAACCGTTGCAATTCTCGTTCCACGCCAACAGGTTAGACGAGAAACGAATGATTACCAGAAACATCGTAATTGAGTTGTCAGAAGTACATTTGAGTTTCTACCAAAAATATTTGAACGCTTACGTATGCTGTTATTTTTTTTATATTTTCTTAACATAAAAAAAATACTTCACTCATTTTAAGGTTAAAAACTTAAAAATCTACTTAAGTTACCTAGGATTTTCATAACTAATGTTAACTATCATACTAATTTTATAAATACGAAAGTTTACATGGATGGATGTTTGTTAGAGTTTGTAGCCTAAACGGCTAAACTGATTTCAATGTAATTTGGCATAGACGCAGACGATAGTCTGGAAGAACACATAGGCTACTCAATTTTGTTTTATTTTTTTTAATTCGACGCTGACGGAGTCGCGGGCGAAAGCTCATGATTACATACATGAAATTAAAAACAAATCCAATAACAAAGAATAATTTTTACGCCGCATTTTAGTCCCTAACTTTACCTAAATTTAGTACCTGAATAACTACAAATAATAATAATTAGTTTAATTAAGTTAAAAAAACACTAAATAACTTAAAGAAACAAATAAAATCGAATTGCATTCCAAATGAAATGCGGCCCTAATTAGACTAGATTTGTTTTTATGTGAGCAAGTTTTAAAAGCATGAAGCGAAGCATTTACAAATCGTTTATTGGCAACCGAAATGGAACTTCGTTAAATGTCTCGATAGACTTTTTATCAACTGCTTTCAAAGCTTATAATGGCCGGTCATGACGAACACATTTGATGTTTTTATGATTCTTTCGAAGTCACGTATTGCATTTATGTGTACTTATTTCGTAATATCTTCATCGCATTGAATTGTGTGTGTTGTAATGAGAATCGATGTTCATGTAATTTTAATGACCGAGTTTTCGCCCGCGAGGATTTAAAAAAAGAAGTATTTGGCCTATGTTCTCCCAGACTATCTACATCTGTGCAATAGAGTAAAAAACTAGACAATTGTTATAAAATACATGAAGTATATAGAATACTATATGTTGCTTGCCACTTCGCCCGCGTGAAATTAAAATATATAGCCTATGCTACTCACAGATAAATTACCTTTCTAACGGTGGGTGTAAGAATTTTAAAAATCGTCACAGTTGTTTTTGAATTATATTAATACATACAAAAATTCAAATCTTTCCTCTTTATAACATTAGTATAAATAGTAAATTATGTTTACGATTCTAAAATAAAATAATATTTTAACACCTCACTATTCATGTTCGACATTATTGTTTCATAACTTATGATCAACTAAGTTAAATTTACACGAAATGAATAACTTTATGTAAATAACCAAAGCTAGACTTTAAATATACTTTGAATCATAAGACAGAACTTTAGTTATAAATTAAATCTTACTATGAATAGTTTTGATTGAGTTGAATTTGCATTCGAACTGTGGGTCCTTTTAAATTATTACGAACAAAGAACTAGATCGAAGGCTAATAAGTATTTAAATTAAAACAATTTAATTACTAACTGATACGAGGACACAATAAATGGAGCAAGACTGTGACACAATGGTATCCTAGAATGGGTAAAAGGAGAAAAGGCCGGCAAACAAAAAGATGGGATGACGACATTAGACAAGTTGCAGGAGTAACATGGAGTAGAGTGGCAAGAGAAAGAAGCGAGTGGAAAAGGTTGGAGGAGGCCTATGTCGATTGGCAAACAGATCTACAACAAATAAAAAAGAATCAAATCCTAGAGTAATAATAAATGTATAGTAGTGTATTAGTAATAAGAAAAATGTACAAAAACTTTGTAAAATGATCTGAATTAAAGGCTATTTTATTTATTTTATTTTTTATTAATTACTAACTAGCTGTTGCTTGCGACTGCGCACGCGTGAAATTAAAATAAAATAGTAACGACTAGCTGTTCCCGTGCGATTTCATCAGCATAAAATTATTTTATTGTTTACATGTGTCAAATTGTCAATTGAAAATGACAAAAAGACATGACATGACAAAACTTGACAATCTTGCTTCCTTGATGTTGGCAGCAACTTATGGTCTCTTTCCATATTAGGGTTTTTATCTAAAACATTTATGTTTTAGATAAAAACTTACTTCACGCTTTAGGCTATACATTTTTAAAATGTATAGCCTAAAGCGTGAAGTAAGTGTAGGCCTTTTTATATAAAAAGGAATCATTCAAAAATATGCTGTAGTTGCTGACATCTTAGGCAACAAAGAAGTGTGTGTTTACGCTTTATTATAACAGTCTATGTTAGTAATAACAAAGCTTTTTAATAGTGCAAGAATTTTTGTTGTCCAGTCAATACATACAAAAATAAAAATAATTCCTTATGTTATTAATAGAAAGCAATATTTTTACTATTTTCTTTAATTTCACGCGGCCGGAGTCGCGAGCAACAGCTAGTCTTACATAATAATCTAGCATACATTAGATAAGGTAATGTTAAAACGGAATGTTACAACAAAATGTATAGCAATTATTTCGGTACAGCCGAGCGTGCTATCGAGTGCATACAAGCGGTCGACCAGTCACAAGCTGTCACATACATAACATATAGCTTATAATATGCCCGAAAAGTTAGTATAACTGATGTTCAGAAGCGTTGCGGTATTCAATAGAATTCCTTTGTGTCTCAAATTGTGAAATAACTATAAAGGCTATTTCTAGAAAGCATTAGCATCGACAAAAGATGCTAACATTAATATGGACTTATTTGAAGTAGTTTTATAGCTAACTAGCTGTTGCTCGCGACTTCGTCTACGTGAAGTTTAAATATACAACCTATGTTCTTTGGTGAATTATATTTAAACCTCATACGTATAAATATACTTTCCAACATGTTAATCGCATAAAGTTTATTTGCCAAAATAAATCGAGACTCGTTTAACTTTTAGTCGACTGACAGATTAATTCGCTTTGCAAAGAAACTCTTTTGCCCGCTGTTTTGATCCATTAAGTGCATGGAATATAAACATAAATAGAATTAAATGAAAAGAAAAAATAAGGAAAATCTAGTTAAAAATCAAATATCAATAAATCCAATATTATAAATGAGAAAGTTTAGATGGATGGATGTTTTTTAGAATTTGTAGATTAAACGGCTAAACAGATTTTGATAAAATTTGGTACAGATGTAGAAGATAGTCTGAAAGAGCACATAGGCACACAAAGACATCACATTTTTTTTAATTCCACGCGAACGGAGTCGCGGGCCAAAGTTAGTTTAATTATAAATGAACCCTAGAACTGAATTACTAGCTAAAGAGAGGATAAACTTACTTAACACATTTTAATGAAGATAGAAGTTTAAGGTTACTATAGTATTAATTTTGTCAGTTTTTATAACTAGCTTTCGCCCGCGACTCCGTCCGCATGGAATAAAAAAAAATAGTAGCCTATGTGTTCTTCCAGATTATCCTCTACATCTGTACCAAATTTTATCGAACTCCGTTCAAACACAAAATCCGTACAAACTCTAACAAACATCCATCCATCCATCTAAACTTTCGCATTTATAATATTAGTAAGATTAGTAAGAAGTAAGATTGATGATTTTTTTAAAGCAAGTATTATGTCTTTGGTATTTTACGGAGACATTTTTGAGAACGGATTTTCTAAGAAGTCGTTAAATACGAGTGATAACCGAGCTATTATAATGAGATCTATTCAAATGTTCCAAATTACTGTTACTAAGGAAACTGTTCCTAGTATTTAGTTATCAGACAAAATCATGTCAATAAAATCTGGGAACCAAAGCATACCGACACAGCTCCTAGAATTAGTTAACTAAGCAACTGACAACCATGAGTCACTTTATGGTCGTCAAAAATCCGATTAAAGTTTAGACCTCTTGTGTAAAAGAAAAAAATATCCTCGCGGCTTAGGATAACCTTGAACCGAAGTTATTGTGTTCATCGAACTAGTCTTTCACACGTTATATTGTAGATTTTGTGTTTTAAAATCGAAAGAGCTTGCTAAAAGTTTACAAAGGTTGCCATATTATACGTTCACTAACTTATTAAGGAACGAAATTCTTGACGCGAATTTTCTTTGATTTAGATATTTCTCAGTACCCACTTATGTTGTTTATTGTTATACATTTCTGAAAGTTTTAGGCACAAATATTGTCTTAAGCGGAAAACACGTCATATTTGTTGATAAACATAACATTGTCAAAGTCATCTTTTTGCTATCTTTTTGAAACAAGACGAAGTTTTTATACATTTATTCAGCGATTGTACTATTTCATAAATTATAAATTTACTAAAAAAAATATCTTCTCAGTGTTACAATTATTCCATATCTTGTATCTATTTTGGTATATAACACGACATGTAAAACAGTATGCATTTATTATTGTCTCATTAATGATACATGACAAACAATTCATTGTTCTGTGATAATTTGTATTTTTGAATAAAAACAACGTAACTATCGCTTCTTAATAAGGGTAAGGCATTTTTTTCTAACTTGGCTCCATTCTTGAATAACACGCAAGGTGCGCAGGAGTCAAATAACTGAGGTACACTGCAAGAGGGACGGGTGAGGGTTAGCTTGCATTCTTACCGTTTCCAGGTCTTTGTTGACAACACACAAATATTCAAAAACACAATCTCATCATCCACTAAGTCAATGAAGATTTTTTTCACACACAAATTACTGTATTTATTTAACAACTCGGCGGAAATAAAACTGACACTGTAAAAAACATACACAACTAACTCACCGATACACAACAACCAAACTGGATTCTTTTGGCTCGTCGTTCGCTTGCCGGTCGGTCGCGAGGAATGCTATAGCTCTAACTCTTTCTGTCGCGGTATGAAATTACATCGGTCTCGCTCTAATGGAGAAAGGCGCCAATGGACGGCGCGAGCGCCGACTGTTTCCTTCGGGATGGGTTTCGACAAAACAAAAGCCCCGATGAAAAAAATAAATAGCCTGGATGATGCCGGACTACATCGTGCGTACATCATTATACAATTTGATGCAACGAAATCAGCATATCGATATTAAGACAAATAGTAAATACTGTATTTTATGGAAGCTGAAATTGATTTACAAGTCTAAATTTCAATATGTAATAAATTGTACATATTATTTCATCCAAAATAAATTCATAATAACAGAGAATAAAGACCAGGGCTACTCTACTCTCCGTAACTCTTGATGCAGTGGCATGGTAATGTACGCTCTGATGCATTTGTATAATGGTAAGAGGATTGACCTCTCCTGTGGCACGTCTAGTTGTGGGCAACACTATTTATTCCAATTTGTTGAAACGTTTTTAAAATTATTTACCATGGCCGTATGTTACCTTACACAAATCTTAACAACTAAATCACACGTCATTGCAATTCAATACAAATAAATACAATAGTTTATAAAGTATCGTATGTTTCTAATTCAGAGAGTAAATTACGAAACAAAGTATATCTGAACTCAAGGACGATTAAAAACACACAACAATCAATAAAGAAAAGTAATGGAACATACAGTTGGAACGAAGTGGTACCAAACTTTAAATTGTGAGCGTACTGTTGTGTTCCAATATACTGGATCTGACAGAATAAGTTTATACACTTCCGAGGTTTTTTAAATGTTTGGATTAAACGGATATTATTGTAGTAAAAAGAGTTAAATATTTTTCGTCAACATAAAAAAATTTGACCGTCATTTCGTCTAAAAAATACAAAAATTCATGCCGTTGTACGGAAATCATTAATTTTCATTTTGTCAGCTCAGTGGAATTCCACTTTGTATTATGATGGATGGGACAATTAACTTAGGCTCAGGATGAATTTAATTAATCGACCTTCTGAACTGCTTACTAATAACGGTATGGTTATATGTATATTTTCTATATTTATTTAATAATTGATTGATAGCTTACTAATTACATATTTTTGTTTTATTTTTTAATTCTAGTATTTAGTAAAGTACAATAGTGGGAAGCCAGAAATTTATATTTTACCCATTTGTCGTATACACTAGCAATAAATTTTAACACGACCCTTTACCCGTTACAAAGAATAAAGCTCTCTGGATTAAACTCTTAGTAAAGATAAAATTTGTGTGATGGCTTTAGGACCCAGTTTAACTACATCAAGCTACCTTACTTTTATTTGAAGTATTTTTATATCACTTGAGTTATTAACAAAGTAGTATAATCTGTGTTTGAGCGGGAAAGCTTGTTGCAGTTTTCGCGCTCAAACATAGATTATGTGAACATTTAGCGGTAAAAAAACTTATGGTATTTTTTGCCTACAATGGAAAATATTTCGAGACATGTATCCGCATAGCCCACGTGCAATTTCTTACATGCGATTCACCATGTGGCAATAATTAAATGAATTCCACAGCCTTTTGAGTCTGAAAAAATATTATTTACTAGCTTTCACCCGCGACTCCGTCCGTGTGGAATTAAAAGTAAGTAGCCTGTGTTCTTCCAGACTTCGCTCTACGTCTATGCCAAATTTTATCAAGATCCGTACAGCCGTTAAGACGGTAAATTCTAACAAATAGACATTCATCAACCTACACTTTCGCATTTATAATATTCTTTTGATCTTGGCTTTTTTGCTATAATTAAGTCACTTTCCAACTCTAGTCTACAACTCCAATATTAACGTTATTCAGATAAAATAATAACATTATGAAATCGTGAGCATTTCACCGGAAACAAGGCACAATAAACCAGTTTTGTTCATCTTGTCGTTTGATTATTCGCTCCGTTATATTGCAATCTTAAACTAATTAAACATCAGCAAGAAATATCTCACAAAGAGCCTTTGTAAAACCAATTGTCCTTTTCAGCTAAGCTCCGAATTGGCCCTTCTATTGATGTTGGGCCTTTTAATCAAAACTACAGAACTAATTTGTACGAAAGGAAATTCGCATTTTATTAAGAAAGATTTCTATTATACTTTATCAGTGGTGACTTTTAAATTCTAACGTTTTATCTATTTCCATTCTTACTTATAATTAAGTAAGTAAAGCGAACAATCTATTTGTAATTTGAAATTGATGTTTTAGTAGTTTTGAATACGTTTAGATTGAATTTTTTTTTT